CTACCTAATAAGGGCCCAACGGAGAGTATACGCGCCAGACAGTAAGAGAAAAGCCAACCACTGGTATTTTACAGCACATTTAAGAACAACTGGCACGCCTATGTTATACTGTCAACAGCCGTTAAATCAGGACATTAAAAGAGGGCGAAATAAAAGAGTACAACAAGACAGAGGAGTCTCTATAAAAAATATTACATACCATTAAAGTCCTCGAAACGGAGCTCTTTCTCTTCGAAATAAAGTGGAAGAGTCGCATTTGCCTGTTGCCGGTCGACACCGCATCCGGGGGGGAAGGTGGAGAATTACGCCTAAACAAGTCTTTAGACTGTTCTCTGAACCCAGCCGACCCGCACCGATACGAAGGCGGTAGTGTAACAGAAGTTACCACCGTCCTTTAGGGCGGTCAGGAAACAGGGGACCGAACCCGGTTCGAAACGCCAGAGTTGTGCAGAGGGCCAGTTGGAGGGAGGAGGAGGCGTGGCGACGGGGAACAAGCTGAAGGGGGCGTGGTGATGGAAAATGAACTGTGTCGAAGCTGGAGGGGCGTGGTGATACCGAAGGGGCGTGGTCACGGGCAGGCAGCGCAGAGCGCCTCACTGCGGCTGTCAGCGCGTGCTTAAAATTACACCACTTTCGCTACTACTTCAACCGATAATCTGTCATCTCCTATACGGGAAAAAGACCACCACCTGCAGTTTGACAGAGGCGTACGTAACGCTCTTCCTAAAAATGCCGGGTTTAACTCACGTGATATAGGATCTGATCTGTTAAAAATTCAAAATGAAATTACTGAATTTATTCACCAATGGGGTTAGCCGTCTAGCACGTGAACCTCCATTGCAGCATCATATATAAATATACGACTTCACTCTTTTCCTTTCCTTTTTTTGCAACTGCCAAGATTAGGGAATTAAAACTCTCAGATGACTGAGGTATTTAAAACCAGTTCCTGGTGATCGCGACCCCAGGCACATATCTTTGTGGCGATTATGTTTCAATGATACGGGATCTTTTTACAGTCTCTATGGCAGTCTTACTGTAAAAATGTGGCTGTTGTGACAATAGGTTTACAAAAAATAGCATATCTCCACCAGGAAGGGGAAAGCGAGTTGTCACGCTTCCTGACTACTTCAGTTATTTAATTACACAACTCTTAGTGTTTTTAAGTTTTAAGCATTACTCGCGTTGCATTTTATAACCAGAACGTAAAACACGGGATAACAAAAGGCAGGTAGGACAGGAGAAACACATGAAACGGCTGCTGATGAGACACGCCGTACCTGCGGGGACTCTCAAAAGCTAGGCAGGTATGTTCCACTTTCTCAGGTTAAACATTAACAAAAATAATATGAAGTGAAAACACAAAAGAAATCACTGCACATGCACAATTAGTTAACTGGATTGTGAAGCTGGTAGGCAAGCATGGATGGAGACTTCACAAATCAAAGTCTAACCGAGCTGGCAACCTGGTGAGCTAGAAGGAAGCATCGGTGACCATTTTACACGACGCTCCTCGCACCGACCAGCACGAAATCCCAAAGCAGCAACAGAAGTGACTTGGTCATTACAAGTCCCGGGAAATACAAGCAAAAGAGTGCCATGGATTTACCAAATGCAGCATTTATCTCCTCCTCGTCTGATGATCGATGGCCGTATCCGCAACTCCAACATCTTCTACACTTCTAAAAACGTGCCTCACCCCCCTTTTTTATTGACGTTCCAGTTGTGCGTCGATCAGTTGCCCTTCTCGATCACAGTTTTTTTTTTTTTAAATAATAATCATAAGCACTCTCTCCTACTCAATGCTCCACGTCGCGGAAAGAAAGAGGCCATTTAGAAACTCCTCCAATTGATCTGATTGGGCCGGACCTCAGAAAACCCGCCCAGCGACCACTATAATTGGAATATGGGTTCTTTCTATCACACCTGTGAGCAGATTTTATTGGATAATATTTTACGTGATCCCGCCTTAAAAACTAACGTTAAACGGTACTCGCAAATACCAGAATATAATTGGCTGATGTCGGCCCGTTCCTGCGTTCATTGGGCGCATCTCGTCTTTGTCTTTCCCTCTTTGTGAGGCAGCGCTCGACACCTTCAAAGGAACCACCACCCAGTATTCACTGCATTTTCACCCCGCCTAATTTGATAGTCGGCTTATTTCTCACGTCAATGATTTAATCAGTATTTCAACGAGGATCCGTTTCCAGTGACAAAATCCTTACTTGAATCTCAAAACAAAAGCGTTGCGTAAGAATAATATGTTCTTCGCAGAAAAACCGACAGAAGGTACTTTAAACTAACGGTAAATGATTACAGATAATAAATGGTATAAAGGAATAAATTCCCCAATTCCTTTATGTCTCAGGCTGCGTCTATCACAGTATTGCACAACATATGTTTTTGCCATTCTCAGATCAGTTATCTGATCCTAGCTGGGCAAACATTATTTGGAGAATTATTGTTTTTAGTTATATAACACATAAAAAATATACAGTAATTTTTAAATCTCTTTTCTGCATTCTAAGAGAATTATAGCACTCCTGCCTTCCGGCAGACGGTCTCCGCACCGCCGGGGCTGTGCTTGGTGGTCTGCTGCAGTTCACATTCTTATTAAGGGACGATTTTGTCATCGAAGTCAGATTCTAGATTTCTAGAAGCTAGAAACGCTTTTGAGTCCAATATATGTTTTATTTTTGATATTAAAAATAAACTTGAAACCTGTCACGCCCCGCTCCGTCCGCTCCCGATGTGTGCCACGCCCACCTCATTACCTCCTGTTTCGCCCTAAGAGTTCCCACCTGTAGCTCGTTCTGTTACCTAGTCTTGTGTATTTAGTCCGAGTCTCAGTCTGTATTCCCCAGATCTGTCATCGTTGTATGGTCCGTCGTTGTCTGCACCTGTCCTTTCACCTACAATAAACCCTGCACTGGACCTTCTGGCTTCATTCGCCTGCTTCCGTGCTCGCGTTCCATCCCGAAGCTGACAAAACCAGTGTAAACTTGAAACCATCTTATATAATTCTTACACAATATTTTTGTTTGTAAAGTTTTAACTTCCAAACTCTTATCCATTTATTATTATTATTATTATTTGCTAATGGTCAAAGATATTAAGGCAGTTCCAAAGGTGAGCATCATGAAGAACTACGCAGTTTGGTTTTCCTGCATACCTGGAAACCTTGTGCCTTTTTCAAAGCAACACATTCAGCAAAACTTATGTTGACTGGTAAAAGAATCATATACTCTGGATTTCGATCAAAGAAATGTAGATTACTGATGTTTCTATCAATTAAGCCTTGTGTTTTGTGTGTGCGTGTGTGTGGATTATGTTTATATTACATTGTTATTTCCCACAATGTAATAAAAACCTGTTCTTCTGATTTTTTTGGGACCATTTTTCACGTCCCCACAAAAATCTGTGAGTGCAATCAAAAAACTAAAAATGCGAAAAGTCTCATATCTTGTTTGGTTACTTGGGGTTAAGGTTAGGCCTGGGTAGGGGTTAAGATCATCATGTTGGGATTAGAGTTTTCCTCATAGAGATGAAGATATAATTACAAACCTGTGTGTGTGTGTGTGAGAGAGAGAGAGAAAGAGAGGGAGAGAGAAAATGAAAGGCAGTGGGAACCAATTAGAACATATTAGAAAGTGCATAGGAGGGTCTCCTGGGCTAACATAACCTAGCACCCCAACCACTGGTTTAGCCCAGTCAGAAAAAGCTCCTTCAGCGTTTGGGTAAGGTTCCCTAGAGGTTTGTCATTTTCCAGATTAAATTTTTTTTAAAAAAATGTTTCACTAATCCAGATACTGTGAAAAAAATAAATCAGGAAACATTTTTCTTATCTAACTTCATCTGCAGTGCGCTGAACACTTTTTACGGGATGTTTTCTTTGGCCTACATAGAAACTGCACAACTGGACAATTTTATTTTAGGAGAAAGTACCATTCCAAAAATGTTAGCTGAGAAGATGTCTGCTGCCATGTGACCTAGTGGGAAAGGATACTAGGGATGTCAGTGCGCACAGAAGGAGACGCCTGGCTTCAGTCCAGCCCCCGCCTCCATGTGACTCCGCCGGCCTTGGAGCAGACGTGCCGTTTTGGTGCCAGCAGAAATGAGAGCCCAAGGTATAACTACTGCTGCAAAGACCGGTTCTAGGTGCTCTGATGGAACATGGACAGGAAGTGCCGGCTGTTCAATGACGCTGTGTGATTTAACCACACAAGCGGTAAGCAGCGTTTGTACGAGATGGTGGGTCCTTCATAAATGTGGATCCCATACAAGCCACACCAATGAACTGTACCGCACAGCTGCCCTTGGGTGCGCAACATCTGTAGAGAGCTGAGCTGAAGGCTTGCTTGGTGCTACTTAATCTTAATTTGTTTTTCCATCCTCGTTCAATAGCAGAAGTGCGCAGGAGCGTTTGTTACACCAGTGTTTGTTTTTTTGCCGATGTTGCTGTTTTTCCCCCTGAAGAATGTTTGGCTAGTTTTCAGTTGTAACCTTTTAGCATAAATAAGCTAAGCATCATTAAAAAAAAAGTGTTTTCATCAAAACCAAATGCTTTTACTGTAAATTCAAATCACTTTAGGAAAAAGGACCCTGAACCTAAATGATGAAGACAATAACAGGGAACTGTAGTATGAAAAAAATCAATTGTAATATATTGCAATATCTTCCAAAATATGCAAAAATGAAAAAGGCAATAAAGACCTAATGACTTATGTCTATGCAAATATTCCACAGTAAATAATATAATAGGAGAAGGTTGTTAGATGTTTTTAAACCTTCCCCCCGTTGCCCTCATGCGAGTCTTCAAAAGTCTCCCTCAGAATGACCTCCGTATCCGTCTCTAAAGCCGCTTTCCAGTCTAAAGGTCATTTAACCACAGTGCTAATATAGGACTTGGATCATTCCTTAGGATCAGTAAGTCAGACTGTGATTAGCCACTCGTGGCGCCAAGCCCTAGGACGAAGTCCAAAAGGCAAAATGGTACTCACAGGTGCTTGTGCTGTAGGTGCGGACGGTGGTGGCGGTAGGTGGGGGTGAGTCGGAGTCCAGCGAGGCGGTGTCGTCGTCCTGAGAGCAGCCCGCCTGGATGGCGCGCAGGTAGCTATGGCTGCGTGACCGGAAGGAGGTGGGCAGCGGGAGGTCCAGAACCTCCACGGCCTGGGAGTCAGACTCGCCGAACACCGACTCGGAGCAGGTCTCCTCATATCGGTGGCTTACCTCCAATTCCCGAACCTGAAAGGGCAGGCAAGTCCTAAGGATGCTGGGTGGGGGGGAGGGAGGAGCACATCTGGCCAGATACCGGCAGGTCACGTGACCTTTTCCTTAGCCCAGTCCACCAGCAGTCATGACGGTGTGATCGAATCAAAGGAATTTCCCTCTGTATAAACAGCAATATTTCTGCTAAAACTAACCCAGCCATAGCAAGGTAACTACATAAACATGACAGAAAAATGGCCATCACCCTCAGTCACCTCCATAATTTGACTTTATTCCCCTCTTTTAAGAAACTAAATCACACAAAGAGCACACACACCATCATGAAGAGATTAATCATATATCTGACTGGCTGCAGTTGATTTGAACATACTGGTGCATTTATTAATGAGCTATAACGTAATATCTGGCAACAGAAGCAATCTCCAGAAAAAAATCCCCTTAGGGATGTCTGTGCTCATCTTTAAGCGACCACCTAGGTGTCTGGCTCCTTCCTTGCAGGCATCTTTAAGAGCTTGCTTGCATTTATTACTTTGATTTATAATATCCATTTTTATTTACGTCACTAAGCGAACGAGATTCCCAGCTCTCCCTTCCACCCTGCAGATCCAGGGTGTTAGCAGTTACAGGCCTGGTCCATGACACTGGCTTGCTCCCTTTTGTACTGGTTTTCTTCTGCTATCATGCTCGTGGGAGTTTTAATTGCACAAAAATGTTCTGAGTGCAGAACGAAAAATGATTGGTTCAGAGAGACAATGAATCAGACTATAGAGGAGGTGGGTCTAAGCAACTAGAGGAGGCGGGACCAAGACAGATGATTTTTCATTCTTCCCTCAAAACATTTTTGTGTAAGTAAAACTCCCATGAGCTGCTACCATAGCGTCCTTTGCTTAGTTCTACTGCTACAGCTGCTGATAATTGTTTATCGGAATCAACAGACCCCGATAGGGAAAACTATACCTCCTCGATATAGTCCTCGGGCAAGACCCCCCACCATGTAGAGATGGATGCTTATAAGAAGGTGTGTGGAGGGAAGTGTTTTGTCACCAAGCCAGCTTCCCTTCGAAGGTGTCATGACAAATAATTAAAAATGCTGGACCGTATAGTCGGTACATATGATAATACGAAAGTTGGTCATTTTTCTAGCATGTAGTTAAAAAATAACCCTCCATGCGTATTGACACAAGTTAGAAAAGCAGAATTCTCCACATTAGACCATAATAAATGTCCCAGTGTTTCATTTTTTTTTTCTCTCAAAATGACATGTGCAAATATTTTCCTGGCATCTCTAATTGTAAGCTTTGGTGATTATTAATCCCCAGGTCCCACCACAACACATCTGGCAGCTCTCCATGGCTCAGCGAGGCACATACAACCCCCAAATCTTCAAGGAGCCTCAGATGGCGGCCTACCGACTGTCTACGCCCGATGTGAATTTTGGCGATCGTGGGTGTGACGATTTTACAGCGAAGCGAAGTAGCTATTAGCGGGCGCAGAATTCGAGGGAGTCGCGTTTCCTTCCTCTTCAGCTGGTCCTTTATGAGACCGATCGCACGGAATGACGTGCATGTCCACCGTTACAGAGATCTCCCCAAGTGCGGAAATGGCAGCGGCTGCCTCTTAAGGCCGTGGAGAATTCGGTCTCAGCCACTAGCCTGCTGTAGCTTGGAGAACCGGGGAAGCCTTCGTCCTGGGAGCCTGGGCCCCAGCCTGGTCTGGGATCCCACTGACCTGGCTGTGGCAGCTGCTCTTCCCCAGTGTGCTGCAGGTCCGACCGAAGTCTTCATCATCCCACTGCAAAAAGGGCGAGCCGGCAGGCCCTCCGAAGCAGTCCAGGCTGTCCAGGCTGCGGTTGGTGGAGAGCTCCCTCAGGGAAGGAAGACAGCTGCGGGGGAGGGGGGCGGTAAAAACAGAGGACAAGGGCTGAAACTCCTCCCTCAGTGCCAGTTTTTATTTTTTATTGCCCCCTAAGCCTGGATGGGCCCTGGTGACAAGCAGAGGAGAACAAGCATGTGAAAGCAGGCGTGAGAGTTTCCGCTAGGCGTCGCGGTGAAATGGTGGCGGGAAATGTGGTCCAAGGGCTGGCCCACGATATCTGCCTGCGGTGCCACACCGTGGTCCCCGCCGAGATGAAGCGGAATGTCCCCCTCTGGCGTTTGTCATCCCGTGACACGCCGAATAAGAGATGGCCACGGCGCGGAGTGACCAGGATGATGCGGCGCTTTGATGTGGGAGGGGCGCGATAGGCAGGTGAAGGAGCAGAGGTACAGACGCACATGGCGTAGCGCTGGCCCGGCCACTTGGCACTCTGTGCCCCCACCCCCCACCCCCAACAGTCACCTCCCTCTCCCCCAACTGAACTGACCTGCCCAGCTGATGTAGAGAGGACACACTTTGCATTGGAGACCACAATGGCTCTAGATCCCCATGCAGCATTGTGCAGCCCCAAGCTCTGCTGGTGACAGAGGTCACGAGGAAGAGGGTGAGGAGGGGTTAGGGTCACAATCACCTCTACTCCAAACATGCAGTCATTAAGAACTCCGTTTCTTAGCACAGTCTATACCACTACCTCGCAACGTCTACATTTCTTTATCTACGGAATATAGTGTAAACCTTACAAAAAGTAAGGGTTATGGGATAAAACAATAACTAGTTCCATGTAAAATAAGTAGGGGGTCATTGGAGTGTGTTTGTTAAAAGGCTGCCACCTAGTGTCAACTTGATGAACTGACAAGGAAAGGACAACTCTTGTCTGCAGCTTGGACTTTAAGAAAAAAGAACCTGTTCCATAGCAGCTTCACCATCAGTGATTCCAGTAGCCATGCACACGCTTGCTTCTTATTTTCTCTTCATGCACTAGATATTGCTTTATAACTGCCTGTATAACACATTCGCGTTCACATTGCATTATTTATGGCATTTTCCTTTATACTCTACAGTATTTGCACTGTGCAGAAGGCAAGACTTTTCACTAATCATTTGAGTGCAATCTGTTCTAATTCTAGTTTAAATCCCAGGATGACGATAAGCAGACATAACAGCAAAATTTGGATCCCTGTGGATTTTAAACAGCAGCGATGTCAGAATTGGGACCATAAGAACTAAATGTAGCAGTAGGTATAATAATTCACTCGACTATAAAACACATAATCTCCGATGTAGTAACTTGCTTAAAAATCGCCTACAATTTATTCATAAAATACAATGTATGTGGCGTTTAGATTCACACATGTTCTATAACCCCTACAACAGTCTTTTATCTTATGCCATACCTCATAAATTGGACCTTACAAACAAAATCTTTTTGCTTTCTTCTAAGTTTTTACTTTCTAAGACACAATATAATTATATGTTGGTACCCTTTGTGGGAACAACACTGACCCAATCCATCCGTTCTCTGAACTTGTTTGCCCTACTTAGGGTTGTAAGGGGTCTGAAGCCTATTCTGGAGTCTATGGGTGCAAGGCGGGGAACAACCCAGGATGGGGTCCCAACCCATCGCAGGTCACACACATACACCTTTCACTCCCACCTGCACACCTATGGGGATTTTGGAAACAACAATTAGCATGTTTTTGGGCTGTGGGGGGAAGCTGGGCTGCTGGAGCACCCCCCTCCAGGACATGGGGAGAACATGCAAACTTCATGTACATGGAGCTATGGTGCAGACTTGAACCCTGGTCCCTGAGGGTTCAACAGTGCTAACCATTACACCGATAACTTGATGTTATCTGTCCTGTAGAGTAGATCTCTGAGACTTGTATTAATGAATGACCCAGACAGCTTTTCCATATAATCTATGCTTCACATTTACAAAACATTGAGGAATTTCAATCAGAAAGTATGAAGTTGAGGAGATAACCATTCAGATTATAAGCATCCAGTGGAGGTGGGACCAAGACATCTAATTGGTTGGTCCTGCCTATGCTAGTCACTTGGACCCACCTCCTGTACAATCTGATTGGTTATCTCTCTGAACCAATCATTTTTCATTCTGCCCTCAGAACATTTTGGTGTAGATAAAATTCCCATGAGCGAAAAGGTGTCAAGGTGTGTAGAATGTACCAGCTGCACTGCATGACCACGCACACGCAGAGCCCGGTGCATGAGAGAGTGTCCACAGGCTCTATAGGACATCTTGCTGACCGGAACGTTGATGGCTGTTGCCATGACGACTTCCCCACGTGTCCTAACCCAAGCACTGTGCCGTTCCTGTTATTCTCAGCCTCCCTTTATCTATGTAGACGCTCCCCAGTGGGCAGTGGAAGCAACAGCAGAGACTTACTTGCGGGACGGCAGCTGGTCGCTGAGCGAGTGCTGCGTAGCCTTCAGGTAGCTCTGCCTGCGCGCTGCCATCTTGGGCGAGGGCTTGGGGCTGCTCTCAGAGTCGTCGCTGTCTTCCAGGTCCCCCATGGCCTTCACGTAGCTGCCGCTGCGCATCCGCCGGCAGGGGATCTCACCGGAGCTGCTGCCTCTGCCCAAGGTGCTGTTCCAGTCCTCAGGGGGGACCTGGGGAGGCGCAATGACCCAACTCTGAGCTGACCTTGCTCAGCATTTACACCAGCACTATTCCCTAAATATTCATCATTCAACCTATGTGCATTACTGCTTAGCTGGGAAAATAGCAACGGTTTTACTGAAACAGGAATGTTTAATATCATCCAGGATAATCACACCATCAGAATACTGTGAAAACTGTGGTACGAGTCTGTTACAGGTCTAAATATGTAGAATGTCCATCCATTCATCCATCTATCCCTAGTCAGAGTTGTGGGATATATGTATCTTAAATTATACAAAACACAAATACTATTAAGTTGCACAGATGAAGGGATAAGACTGAGAAATGTGATGTTTTAAGTTTACACATGATTTATATCAAGTAGGGGATCCTTGCTGGTCCAGATTGTTAGACTTGTACATAGCTGGCTAGATCTGAGATGTCGACTGGGGATTTGGGGCATTCTGCCCCCTGGTGTTCACTACATATATCGCATAACAAACTGAAAGGATATAAATATGGTAATTTAACCCTTATAGTGACTTTCTTTAATTGTCAAAGGTAGTCTGGGTAAAGTGGCTCATCTTCTGTCATACTCCCTCATTCCTGTACCTGCAAATAGTGGCAGGTCAGGTCTTGGGTGCAGGACTTGGACTTGGTCAGCATTGCTCTGTCGATGGTGGCCGAGCCCCTCTGACACATCTGCCGGGCCTGGCTGAGGGTCAAGGTGGACCAAGAGCCGCCCTTCAGGAAGTCGGTATCCACCCCAGAGCTGATGGCCCGGGGGGCGCCACCCCCGGGGGCAGATATCGCCAGGCACGCCTGGTTCTTGAGGTTGTTGTTGCTCTTGGAGCCCTTGAGCGTGTGCTTGTCGATGGTGCTGTAGGAGTTCATGAAGTACTTGGAGGCTTGGCCGTCGGCCGTGGACTGGTCCAAGCTCATCATGGTCATGGGGCTGCGGTAGTTACCAATGTCGCTGTCCAGGTCATCGGAACTCCAGTAGCCAGACATGTTAGAACGTGGTCGGCGCTTGGGGGGCTCGGCCTTCGGGGGGCGCTCTTTGCTTTTGCTGCGGCGCCCGTGCTTGCCGTCCCCAGCGGAGCCCCCGGGGCCTGCAGAGAAGCGCCCGTTGGCGTGCCCTTTTCCAGAAACCTCCAGGGACTGGGACTTGGCAAAGAGCTTCTGCACGGAGTTGACCAGGTAGCGTATGCGGCCGGGGCTGTCGCCGCGCTGCTTGGACGCGCCGCTGCGGTGGAACTGCAGGGTGCTGAAGCCGTCCCGGTGGGCGGGCAGCTGCTTCTCAAACTGGTCCAGCAGGTTGGCAGGCAGCCGGTTCATCTTCCCACTCGGCGATATGACGGCCGAGCTACTGGTGATGACGGGACTCTGGCCTATGCCGGTGCTCATGCCCATAGATATGGGGCCGCCCAGGGTGCCCGTCCCAATGCCCCCGATGCTGTCCCCGGCTGGCATGGACACGGGCGAGAAGTCAGCCTGGTCGAAGTGGGAGTTGTAGTGGATTCGGGGGAAGGTGCTGCTGTTAGAAATCTGGCTACTCAGGGGCAGAAGGCATTCAGGTGGAAGGGTTCCAGGACTGGGGGAGGCAAAATGGTGGGGCTCCATGGTGCCGTAGTGGTCCATAGTGGGACTCAGAAGGTAGGGGCTCCGGGGGAGTGTGCCGGTCGGGTACAGGGGTCCTGGGGAACAGTCTGACAGGTCGCAGGATTCGGACAGGTGCCGGCTGCGGTTGGCACCTAAGCCCTTCATGGCACCTAAGCCCTTCATGGCACCTGAGGTCATCTTCAGATCATCTCAGGTGGGGACTGGCTACAGCCCTGAGGGGTGGTACTCCTGTATAAAGGAAGAGGACAGTGTGAGGACACCACAGAAACTCACACACACACACACACACACTCCTTCAAAAACACGAGTAAATACTCAGTGCCGTTAATCAAATATGCAGACCATGTATGAATGTATCTATCTTCTTCATCTGTCTTACTACTATACAAGGTCACAGGGATCCAAAGCCTATCCCAGAAACAACAGGCACAAAGTAGGGCCATAATGCAGGACGGGGGGGAGGTGCGGCCCATCACAGGGCACACTCCTCCACATGCATATATATGAACATGTTCTCCCTGTTTATGGAAGCCCTATGACCAGGTACTTTACTATAAGCTGACTTTCAATTCCCAATGAGCGTTAAAGAATAAATAACAGAAAAAAAGCATACAAGATGGCATTGTGAGTCTTAAAGATTACATCAGCTCACGAAATCTAACTTGCAGATCTACATTTCTGTATTTCCCCTCCCAAAACACTGCGGATGTGGGAATAAATAGGTCAACTTTGATAATTAAACAGTGCAATTTACCCGTTATCTAATAGAAGAAGAATTTTCAGTACAAACCACCTGTGGTAATACGAAGGATTTGCTTCATGTCATTTAATAACTAGAATACATTTCCTGCACGAGGGGGGATTTGTTCACAAGACTTTGATCATATGAATAAAATGCTGCTTCATTCTTGTCCATATTGATATACAGTGGTAGCCTACCTCAGAACTCGAAATTCATCCGTTCAGAACTCCGGACCGAATCCTAAAAAGTTCTAGTTCTGATCGAATTTCCGGCATAAGAAATAATGGAAAACCAATTAATTGGTTCCCGGCCCCAAAAAATTACACCGAAATATGTTTTTTTTAGCATTTAAACGCAAAATGAACCGGACAAAACAAGAAAAGCATATACTGTACTAAACACATCTAAGAACATTTGTCAAAACAGTAATTTTTAAAGTAAGAAAATAAATGTATCCAAACAATGTGTAAAGTTAAAAAAAACAACAATGTGTCCTGCCCCGATCGTCCGCTCCTTCCGTGTGCCACGCCCCCTCGATATCCCCGTGTGGAATCCCCGTGTAATCAGTTGTTTCTGGTTGTTGTCATTAGTCTTCTGTATTTCGTCCGCGTTTCAGTTTGTTTCCCCAGTTCGGTCATTGTTTTGTCCGTCTGCGTTTTGCCTGCCTTACCTGTAATTAAACCCCATATTCCTCGACACCCTGACGTCTGCGCCTTTGTCTCCGTTCTGTCCCCGCTGGGCACGACAATATAATATTATAATTAAATTTATTAATGGTTTATTATTAATATTAAAATAATTAATAATAAATATTTATTTTTAAATTTATTTTATTATATAATAATAGTTACTGTTACTGTCTATCATTGTCTAAATGTATTTTTACTGTCTAAATATATGTATTCAGCTAGTGTAAACATGCACGATGCTATCACTGCAAATGCGAGGCTGAGACTGATGTCGTGCCTTTTGAGACTCGAGGGCCGGCATTTTTGATGAACCAAAAAGGGCTTTAATTGAAATAAAATTAAATAAACATGGACTAAAAAGAAACATGGAGGGATCTAAACAAGAGGACTACTACACTCTCAGGAAAAAGGGTAAAAATTTGTACCTTTGCTTGTCCCTGAGGCTGTACCCTTTTAAGGTACAGAAATGGTCTCTGAGGAACATCCCAAAGGTACAAACAGTATTAATGTACCATCGATGGTACAGAAATGTTCCTGACATTTCTGCACTTTAAGAGGTACTATTACTTGCAGCTACGGGTACAGCGTCAGTCACAAGCAAAGGTAAAAATTTTTACCGTTGTTTCTGAGTGTACGAGGAAGGACACCGGCTGATAAGAGGAGCACCATCAATGACCGACTAGAGCTGACAAAACAAACAGGTACTATTTGTACTAACGAGAGGTAACAAGCAACAGGCTTGGCTCAACAGGGCCACATTGGGGAGGAGACGAGAGGGTCAGGTGTGCAGGATATGACAGTTAATCCTTGCTTCAATGAATCAAATGATTATTTACAAACAGTGTGTTGTGTTTCCTCAGGTTGCCCTATATGTATTATACTAAATTCAGTGTTATAAATAAACAAAAATGGAGGGAATTAGGAAGGAAGCAGATATTTCGTTATGGTACTGACCAGTGAGGACCAGAGCGTTGGTAGCTAATTACTTTTACTTTGTACCAGGTCTCTTGCTGTGGGGACACACCGAGAGTTCGTGTCGCTGGCCTGCTGTCCCACCGGGCCCATCTGTCACTCTCTAAAGCTGCTGGAGATGCTGACTCTGGAAGCTACTGTCCACAGGATTGTCCAGCTAGGGGCCCATATGACCATTTGCACAGCTGGGCGGGGGAGGGGTGTCAGGTTATCATTGGCGACAGGTACTTGGTAATGGAAAACAACACAAGCATGTCTCTATGAACCAGAAATGCAGGACTGAAAAGCCTCCTCATGCTATCGGTCACTGAACCTGGCAAGGACTGCAGGAGTGATGTTTCAGCAAGAAGGCAGGCCAGCTGAGAAGCAGCATCAGCGGGTAAAGAACGATCGACCAGGCCGAGAAAACACGCCATGCGGGGGGGCTGAAGCCTACCCAAGGCAGCACAGGGTACAAGGCCAGAGGAAAGATCTGGATGGGATGCCAGACCCTTATAGAATCAATGAACTTAAAAAAACACTTTAGAGTATCGTTTAAAATGAGGTAAACACCCCATGTTACAGCTGATCAGTCTACTTACAAAACTGCCCTTAGGCAAGGAATCTATTAGAGGCTGCTGAAGTGAATCTAATGAAACAGTCCACTTTCTCATCTCAATCTTCTGTATGTGGCTCTGGCAGAAAATCAGTCCAATTGCATTAAACAGCGTCTGATTGCTATTTTTCATCCCTGCACCAGCGCTCATTAGATGCCATTAACCGTGGCTGTCTTGGATGCGATCTCCCTGCACCCCCACAGGATCATGCTAATTTGAGCAGCACCGTTTAATGGCCACATAAAAATGTTTAATGTCATAAAGCTCGCGGAAGATTTGCTCGACGAGAAAAAGTACTTTGCAAGAAGCTTTTCGTAATAATGACCCGGAATTTGTCTTATCTGTTAAGGGCTCGTCACCCACTGTTGTATCCAGCGGCTCAGGGAAATTGTGGGCGCTGAGCCGAATCGGTGACTCGATCGATTAGATCGCGCAACGCTTTTGTCTCGGCATTTGTTTTATTTACATTTATCACAACTTTAACAGCTGCCACAAAACAAACAAACCAGCAAACAAAAAAACCTAAACAAGAACAGTTCTCGGCTTTAGAAGGCGTCTGGCGTAATGTCTGGCACCGGGCAACACACGTGCTCGGGTGCGACGCAGATGGTGCCCCCGGCGGAGACGTCGGGAGAGCAGGACGGTTTCTCAGGGCGCCGCTGCCGCAGACACAAGCGCGGGGCGCTCAGCTGTCAGGTGAGAGGCTGAGCCGGGAAACGGGGAGGGGGGGTCTTAGGCGTGCAGGCGCGCCCCCCACAGCTTCTCTAAATATTTATTTGGCAGCCGTTTGTTAAAGGCTCAGCGCTGAGCAAAGACTCGTCTCTCCGCGGAAGCAGCGTCTGCGCCTCTACGCCTCACGCCGCGCTCTTGAGGGCCGTCGTGGGCAGGGGAGCAGCCATCTGTCGGGACAGCTCCGGAGCGCTTGGCTCACTTGCCCTGCTGCCATTGACCCTACATGCTGCCGCGAGAGCGGGGCTGGCCAGGAGGAAGGGATTCGCACCGTCTCCGAAATGCCACAAGGGGGCGTCATCAGCCAAATCAAGTAGCTTGCCCTCTTATTAGTTAAAATGTAAATATTTATACAGTACTTGTATGTTATGATTTAGAAATCCTTGTCTTTAAAAAGCAGATGAATTTATATTTGAAGCAGAATTTATATTTCACATCGACATTTCACGTTGCTTTTTATAATAATGTAAATATTGTTTGCATAATTACATGGACCTAAATGCCACCTTAGACGGTGTTAAATGACTACAGTCACAGCATTCAAAGCAGTCAAAGCAGTATGTGTCACGGAAGGTAACAGGCAGAAATAACACATATGATGGCAGGGTGAAAATAAAGCCCCCCCCCCCTTTTTTATGAATC